TTTTAGTATAGTTTTATTAGTAATAGTTTTGTATAATGATTAGTCATAGTTTTTGGTTATGTTACACAGAAAATTGTAGAATAGTCTAGAATATTATGGAATGTTTTAGAATGTCCCAGAATATCTTGGAATCACATGACAACTTCTAGAATCTTACAGAATGTTCTGGAACTTTTTAGAATTTTCTAGGTATTATTAATCAATAATTAGTAATATGTGTTACCTTAACATTATGCGAAGAGCACAAACCGTAAAAAGCTTATTTACTAAGTTCTGGTTCATAATTTGACGTTAATGATAAGGATATTATGAGACATTATATAATTTTGACCAATAAATTAAATATGGACTTTATTCTTTGGATCCAAATATTGAAGTTTTTAGAAAAGAGCCAATAAATTTTCCAAATCCATAGATGTCCCATGAATAGTCCAAACAACATGAATTATTAACGTTAAATGGGTATAAAAGTGGTATTTTACAAAGGATACCCAAGCTGAACTTTATATATAATTAGTGGAGAAAATACACTACCAGCAACAGGCTCCGATTATCTTTCACGTGTTTCTGTCACCAATAGCAGTCTTTCAAACTTGTCGGATCTAAAGACCTGCTACTGGTTACAGGAACACTGAGAAATAATTGGAGCCTGTTACTGGTAGTGTGTTTTCCCCACTAATTATACATAAAGTTTCAGTTCGGGTATCCTTTAAGAAATGCCACTTTTATCCCATTAAAAATACCGGACGAAACACTAGTTGGCCATATGGTGAAAATAGAAAATTACCGTGGTGGTACTAGAGCTACCTATTATATTATTATGCAACGGTAACGGTAAATATCAAGTTTTAAATTCTGAAATCATTGTTTATACCAAAAAAATTTTAAAAAATGATTGTTAGCCCATTACTAATTTAAGTGTTTGTAATTTATTTCTATATCGATTGAAAAATATTAAATAAATAAATAAATAAATAAATGTAACAGATTATTTGATTTGTTCAAGAGCATATAATGTTCAGATTAATTAACGTTATACGTAGGAAAAAATTTCAGGCAAGTAATCATTTTTGTTGAATTAAATATGTACTTTTCTTTTTTTACATTATAAAAATAAATTACGTACAGTACAAAAAACAAATTATTATTATTATTTTTATTTTTATTATTAGAAACTCAGCTAATTAACTATCAATTTGCCTCAAAGATCTTTTTATCAAATTCGAATTTAAGACTTTATTTTAATTTTAATAATTACAGAATTAGCATGTTCAATCGAAGTTAATCTATTTGTAAGACAAAATTGACTGTATTACAAATTTTATACGTAATAATAACTTAAGATTTTTGTTAACTAATTCTCTTCTATTCTTCTAACACAGATTTTTAATTGCGAATAGGGTATGTAGTCAGAAGTATGAGAAATTATATGGAATTATAGTGAAATAAGAAAAGGGTAAATGTAATTTCATCTGCTAAATGAATGTTAAAAAATTTTTATACTTTAAAAATTTAGTTCTGAACTTCGTTTCAGTAACAGTTAATATTCAGGTACTGGAAAATGTTTATTGGTGATTATGTAAATTGGCTGAGCGGCGTCAAGTTATTGCTATGTTTGTATGTAATTGTTACTAAAATGGGTAGGGCTAAAGGATAGACATTTTTACGAACCGTTTAAATAGAATAATAAGGGCAGACCTTTAGTTAGATTAAATTCAATAATATGATATATTAATTTATTGCTGATAAATATTATAAATTTTGTACGAAATCGCATAGATGGTAATTGTTAAAAAAAAAACGATACTAATTAAGAATAATTAAGACTAAAAAAAACGATACGTATATAATTAAGAATAAATTAAAGACTAAAAAAAAATATAATTAAGAATTAAAAATTAATTTTATTTTAATATGAAATTACCCTTTAGAAATATGTCCCGACGAGTAGCAAAGATCTCATATGAATGATCTCTATAGTTCTTTTGCATATTTCAAATACGTAAAAAGTACATACATAATTTCCAAACTTTTATTAAATCAGCAATGTGGCTGGGATATTAGTTCTAGGTCACCTTATTATGTCATAATCAAGTCATGTATTCCGAACCTAGAACTAAAATGGAATATCATTCAATCACATGTTGGATCGTAATATATAAAATCTAAAAATATCTTCCAATCATTTATTAGACTCTGAAATACTATATTATATATAAAAAGTGAGATACGAGATACACTCTTTCAACATCGAACTTTTGAAAAAATGTCTTTACTTGATCAATCTTATTATTCTCAAATATGGGGCAGTCTCCTGGGGCTTATAATTGTGAGTATATTCTAGGGTTTTGACTCTTTAATTTCTTTTCGTTAATTAACAAATTTGAAAACTTTTTTTTACCTTAGTTAATTTTAGACATTATCGCAATCTTTGAAGTCCTGCAATCTGGACGTTCGATGCTTTCAAAACTTTTATGGATACTTTTGATATTTTTCTTTCCTATCGGTGGATTAATCATTTATTGGTAAATAATAACCCAATTATCCGTTGAAATTTTGAATTAAAGATTATATGATTCTAATGAATTTTTATTTATTTATTTATTATTATTATTATTATTTTAGTTGTTGTGGCCGTGGTGGTAGTATAACTTCGAGAGTTTAACAATTTCTTATGACTTGTCTTTTGCAATGACCTCTAATTAACATATTTAGAATTATGTTTTATAATATTCAAAGGCATCATTTTCTCTTTTTTATTTATGTAATGCGAATTTGCCTGTTTCTCAACATTTTTTTTTTAGTAAATGAATTCCAATAATTTCATTATAATGTTCATCATTTTAATTTTTCTATAATTAAATATAATTAAAGCTAGGGCGCTCGACATTAATGCGCTATTTTTTCCAAAATTGTAAAAATTAAAGTTTCACATGTTCAAACCTAATTCATAATACAGTAATAAAAAAAGAGAAGATAATTTTACAATTATCCTAACCTTGTTTTATAATATGAATGATAGAAAGAATCGACCTAGACTGTTTTACTTTTATCGGGCTATTACCTCTAAAAACTTGGACGACATGTGGGATCTTCATTAATACAATGATAATAATGTAAATAATGATCAGGATCATTGTTAGATAAAGATCCCATGTGATTAAATATAGTGGTTGGATACGTTAGGTCAACTATACGGATACGTATTCGAATATCTAAATATAAAACCGAATATATTGTTACTATAGTAGATTGGGAGAGTGGGTAACGTTGCACGGTTTAGCTCCAATAGTTAACTTGGTTGGGACGTGACGGCATCTCACTTAACCAGGTGGTCTTCAAGCATTAATGATCGTTGGGAATAAAGGAAAGGCAGATCATTGTTTTATCAAGAACTCCTCTCTCCTTTATTAAATGAGACAGCCTGTGTTTTTATACATTTTACGATCTTAAGAGGCCTGACCTGTTAGAGGCTTCGTGCTATCACTTTAGCCTCACACAGCCTTTACATAAACTAAAACTCTAACACTATGATGTACTCAAAATTTGGATTACGTTCTTGATTAAGGATGGGCAAATCGTGAATTTTTCAAATTTTCTGCAGGATGCATGAAATGCGCATTGCATATAGTAGAGATATACTGTAATTCTATTCCAGTTGGCCAGAATTATGCCAGCTGGCCAGAATTATGCCAGCTGGTCAGATTTATATCAGCTAGCCTGAATTTTAAAAATCACACTGCGCAGTGACCCACCCCTATCTTTGATGCACTTTTAGTAAAATATTTTTGAACTTTGAGCGAATATATCTCAAGAACTGCTTGACCAAATTCGATGAATTTTTTTTTTTTTTTTTGTTTTAATTCTATGGATATATGGAATTCAAATAAAAAAAAGTTCACCGATTTTGATCGAGCGGTTGTTGAGATATCTTCGCTCAAAGTTAGTAAACAAATTCAAAAAGTCTATTAAAATAAGTGCACCCAATTTTTTCTAAAACTTTGAACGAAGAGATCTCAATAACTACTCGACCAAATTCGATAAATTTAATTCTACAAATATATAGAACTCAAATAATAAAAATTTCATCGATTTTGGTCAGGCGGTTGTTGAAATATCTTCGTTTAAAGTTGAAGAGAATCAAAGTTGATAACCAATTACTATTAGCAACTAAGCGAATACGTAGAGAGTATGAATGTCTTATTGATGTAAAATGTTATCAAATGATTAATTTCTTTACCTGGAAACTTTATGCACATGATCTCATATGTCTAATACCAAATTTATACGTATTATTTACTGTATTCAAATTTGGTCTTCCAATTCAAATTAACTTGATTCCGAAATTCCGAATTATTTAAGAAAGAACTTTTTCGTAAAGGCCATTTATTATTTAATTTATTTTATTATGGAATTTGTCAAGATTAATACGTTAGGGTATCAAATTAATGCTAACAATTTTAATGTAAACTATTTGTTATTGATTATAATAGGAGTTTTTATTCCGGAAATAATTAGGTCACAGAATTCATTCATTGTGATTAGGAATGGACAAAGTAATTTATTAAATAATCAATACTTATTTTTTATCGTTTAATTAATATTAAGTAATATCTATATTACTAATGTTAAGTAAATTCTTACTTATTACTACGTATCACATGATCAATTTCATTATATGAAGGGAGATGGCACGTTAAAAAGGTTCACCATTTATGCTATAGAAAGAAAATCCCGAAAATTATTCATCAGATTCCGCATTAATCGCCATTCAAATTTATTCATTGAATACTTCAATAAAAATTGGCTTATATACATCAATACGGAATCCAAAAATTTATAGCGATGAAAGCAAAAGTGTCTAAAAAAAATTTTTCCCGTTGTACGTATCTATAAACCCAAATGATTGTTAAACCTGTACTTTTTTTCTTTTAAAAATTAATGACGTTAACGTTAATGACTCATAACCGGTACGCCTTGTTGACCTTTTGCATACTTGAAACATAACAATAAGAAATACGTAATTAGTTAAGAATGGTTTAACAAGTGTGACAATAAAAAGCTTATCAATTAATATCTTGTTACGTATCGATAATTATTAACTACGTATAGATGGTCACTCAAAACCATTCTACGTAATTGTTTTTCCCGATTTTCCATAATAGGTTATTAGTAAAATAATTATATGCGTACATGGAAAATATTTATATATCATAATGGTAATTTTCACACCATAATAAATCATGTGAAATGTTTTACCAAAATCGTAATTTATTCGAATATTTTGTTTAAAGAGGTTCCCAAAATCAAGCCCGCTGGGTGGGTGTCTCTTTACTATTAATTATTTTTTATTTAAATTGTATAATTTAAAAAAAAAAAAAGTTTTTCAAAATGAGTGATGTGGATCGTAAAAAAGAATTGTTAGAAAAAAGGCAAAAACTTGCAAGACTTAAGCAACAAAGAAATGAACGTTTTAATAATCAAGGTACAACGATAATAACCGAGGCTGCGCATAGAATTGATCCGGTAATTTTTGTGCAATTAAAATTATATTTTTTTTTGTAATCCTAAAAATTTTAATAATATTTATTTATAGGAAAGTTATCGTAAAGTTGATAATTATGCTAAAATCTTGGCAGAAGAAAAAGATAGGGCAACACGTCCCGGATCTCTATCAAGTCTGGAAGATTTTGATATTTCTGATAAAGTCAAAGTTGAGAAGGGCAAGAATTCTACGTATTCTACATACAAGTATTCGTCTTCGGGAGCCTCGGTCCCTCAAAGGTTTTTTTTTATTTTCTTTTATTTTTTGCAAAATGTTTTATTAAAGTCGTTCATTATCTTTTATTCAGCCATAATGGTTTCTTAATTAACTACTATTTTTCTTAATAATAGCCCAACATATCCAACACATCCCTTTACCAATCGTTTTCTACCTGAATTCAGTTCGTTCCAAGAGGATTCAATAAACGTTGGTGCAAGGGTAAAAACAATAAATTTTTAATTAAATTTTTTTAAATAAATTTTTATTAATTATTTTGATTGATTAAATCAGACTTTAGTATTTCGTGAATTCGAAATACAAACCGATGAAAGTTCTTTCGATACTAAGCCACCTTCAGAAGAAGAAATTAGGGAAAAGGTTTTGAAAGAACATGAAATTAAAAAGGCCGCTTTAGAAGCTGAACGGTTGAAAATAGAAACTGAAAAGAAAATAAAAAAAGGTAATTTCTAATAATTTCAAACATAATATTAATTAATAAATAAATGTTTTAGTGATAATAAATGTTAATAATAAAAGTTAATAAATGATACGATAATATTAATAATGAATAGTATTAACAAATAGTAATAACAAATAACAATAATAATTTAATTAGAGTTATCGGAAGAAGATAAAAAAGAATTAATAACTTCGCCAAAATTTGCTAAATTCGTTAGCCATTCTGCCGAACTTGTTGAAAATACTCTTAATGAACATTATGATTTTATGATAGATTATAAAGTTGTTAAAGAAGTAGAAAGGTAATATTTTTTTTTTTATTATTCATTATAAAAAATAAAAAAAATAAAAAAATTAATAAATTAATTTTTTTTATTACTTTATTATTAAAAAATCTATGATTTGATATAAATAAAAAAAAGTAATGAGGAATCAAGAAAGCTTATTAAATGCGAATGTTCATTCTTCGATGACCGATGGAGTAAAAATCGATCTGTTACTGACGTTAATTGGTCGAGTAAAGTAAGATACACTTATTTCAAATATTTTTTTAATAACTTTTCTAATCATTAATATATATATACGCAGGATCCTGAACGTGTTGTTGCCTCCTTTAATAAAAATCCATTAGCAATTAATGAACCAGACGGCATTGTCTTGGTGTGGAATTTATTACGTCCTGAAAAACCAGAATTCGTTCTTCATTCTCAAGTTAGTTCTTTATTATTATTATATAAATTAACTATACTACTTTGTTATACTAGTTGCATTAATTACACTGATTATGATTGTATTAATTTCACTAATTATTCATAATCTATATACTTAGTCGGATGTGCTCACAACTACATTCTCCGATTTTAGATCAGAACTTGTTATTGGTGGTACATATTCTGGCCATATAATGCTTTGGGACATGAGGGCAAAATCATCTCCTGTTCACAAAACCTCTTTCTCTGTAAATGGTCATACACATCCTATCTATTCAATGCAAATTGTGGGTACCCAAAATGAACACAATTTAATCACTGCAAGCACTGATGGATTAGTATGCTCTTGGCAATTAGATATGTTGGTTCAACCTGTGGTATATGTTATTTTTTTTTTTCTATCATAATAAATAAATAAAAATTAATATAATATTACACTACATTTATATATTTTAGTTACTAAATTATTTTCAAATTTTTAGGATCGTTTGGAATTAATTCATTCAGAACATAGTAAAACTGATGAAGTTTCAGTTACTGCATTTGGATTTCCCGATAATGAGAATGATACTACAGCTTTCTGGGTCGGAACTGAAGAGGGTAATATATATCAAGTTAATCGATATGGACGTCCTGGAGGGTAAATATAAAAAAAGTTCTTTCATTTTTCTAATAATCATTCTAAATTATTCTAAGTTATTTATCCATTTTGTCTTTTTTTTTTTAGCAAAGCCGGAATAAATCAATGTGACTTTTATAAAGGTCATTGGGGTCCAGTCACTGGCCTTCATTTCCACCCAAAGATTGGATCAGAAGACTTTGAATTTAATGATTTATTTTTAACTTCATCAGTAGATTGGACTGTTAAATTATGGAGAGCTAAAGTAAGATAATTCAGAATTATCATAAAATTTAATATAAAATTATAATAAAATATGTATATATATATATATATATTTTTTTTTTATAAAAAGTCATTTTTAAATACTCCGACATCTCCGCGAATTATTACACCGTTACATTCTTTTGAAGGTGCAGATGACTATGTTTATGATGTTAAGTGGTCACCTCGTCATCCAGCACAATTTGCTTCTGTCGATGGTACAGGAAAATTTTCTGTATGGAACTTGAATGTCGATATAGAGGTAACTTAAATAAATTTTATTGTGCTATACATACAAATATATATATATATTATGTATGTATGATCAAGTTTTCCAAACTTATTATTTTTTTTTATATTATAATGATAGGTACCTGTTGTGAGTACTCAAGTCGGTAAACGCAAGGCATTAAATAAGATTCAATGGGATAAAGAAGGAAAAAAGACAGTAATTGGATCTTCTGATGGGCATGTTTATATTTATGATATAGGAGAGGTAAGATAAAATTATAAAAGTTTGATATGTAATTATTATTAATTAATGATCATGATTAAATTTTTTTTTAGTTATGTATTCCTCATGATGATGAAATTGCTCTTATGAAAAATACGATTTCAGAATTAAAAGGTGTCAATATAATGGATAATTTGGATAGTTATAGTGGAAGGTTTACTTTTACAAAATAATTATTGTTAAATTTTTATGTAATTTTTTTTTTTTCAAAATTTGGTTTATTTTTTGTAACATGAAATTTCTATCTGATGGCTATCATATTTGTTGAGCAAGATGATAGAAACCCATCAGAGATTTTAACTTGCATATAGTTTGTATTGTTATTTGTCTTAATAAGGTATTCAAAGTATTGTACATTATATTACTGGTGGTTTTTTTTGTTTATATAGTACTTATTTTCAAATTTGTAAATGAGTTAAATTAAATAAATTTAAGAGGTTTTTTTTAAAAAATACTTTTATGTCGAAATGTTTTAAAAAAGCTAATACACATAGGTTTAAAAATTTTGTTAAACAAAAGTAGATTCAGTATTACAATATTTACAATATATTTTTTTTTATACAATTGTAATTTAATTTGAATAATTATTAAGATTGTGGTTATTTCAACTATTTCTATTTATTATAATTTATATATAATTAAATATATAAATTTGTTAAACTATTCTAATATATAAGTTTGCTATAAGAGTTTAAATGTATAATAACAGTTTAAACAATGAGTTTTAGTTATAAACACAGTTTATAATATTAGTGATAAGAATATTTAACACTTTAAATATTTTAGAGGCAGTGATTATAAAATTAATTTTTTTTATCTTTACTAATTGTATGCATTTAGACAATATTGACTATATTAGATAATTAATTTATTGTAAATAAGTATTTAATAATAAATATATATTTTTATAATTTTAATAAAACTAATTAATATTAATAAATTATCTTCATACTCATAGACCAAATTAATTTTAATAAAATAATTTGAAAGATATTAATTAATAATAATTTTACTTTATAAAAATAGCAAAACTTGTTTACAAAACAAGATCATAAATATTTATTTATATTATTATATACAAATCTTTTCATTTATATTAATTTATTTAAATCAGTGAGTATAAAATTATTTATTTTCAGTATAAAGTTTAAAACTGCAAATATGAAATAAACTTTAAATATATTATATAGAAAATTTAAATATAGAAAATACATTTATTATAATGAATATAATATGCAACTAGCATAGTATTTATTATATAATTCTAATATAAACAAGTAAAAATAAAGATATTGATAATTTTATAAAAGAATTTCAAATTAGAATTTTAAGAATGAAAATGTAATTAAATAAATTCTGTTTATTAAATTATCTAATATTAAAAAAATTAGCAAAGAAGAATTTGGCTCTATATATAAAGTAATCTAGTTGAATAGTATACAAAAGGTTAATAGAGTAATAATAATTATATAAGAATATATGAATCAAATAATACTGTTAAACACAAATTATTAACTCTTCTTATAGATCACTTGTACCAAAACTTTTCAAAAACATTTGTTCATAACTAAATATTTTATTAAGTAAACTACTCTTGGGCCACTAAGCAAAATTGTTCTACACAAAATTCTGCTTTAGTAAAGCCTAATCTTATATCTTTCAAACTCTAACTTGCAAAGATATTTACTTAAATATTTAATATAACACTTTTATTATTATCTCTGAATTTTAATAAGACAACAACTCTAGATCACTATAAGAGTTTTGTCTAGCTCATTCTTGGCTTCACACATATATAAATTTTATAAAAAAATGGATAAAAACTCATTAAATTATTAAAGGAAAACTCATTTAAGATTTTTTCTAAAAATTTTAAAAAAATAAAATTCTTTTCTCTTTCTCCTCTCAAACCCAAAACTAAATCATGTGAAAATCAATTAAAATCTATTGGTTCACCCAAAAATAACACTAATTATTAAAATTTCCCTTTTAAATTCATTTTAATTAAACACAAATTAATTACTTATATATTTGTACTAATTCTAAATTAGTATAATATAACATTTAAATTTTACTATTTTTAGTTTAGTAATACATATCAGGCTTTGTACTACACTAGCTACACTAGCCACAAGCCACACTAGCTACCTTGTAGATTATACAACTAGTGTTACATTATGTAAACTAAAGTATACCTTTCTATGAAACTTTCTTTGCTTACATCCCAAATATAATATTATTAAACTATTTAAATCTCTCTATAACAACTTTTAAAACTAATATATTACTACAACAACATGTCTACTCTTGTCCAATATGAACCTGACTCTTTCAATATTGACTACTTCTTATCTAAATATAGTAATAGATATAGTATAGTTACACATGAACAAGATCTTACACAACTCAAACCTATACTTTTTGCTTTAACCTTTCCTATTGCACACCTGCTAAACAACTTCATTTTTTTCATATACAATCTCAACTCTCTCTAATCAACTACATTTATAACAAATACCATATCTATTTTACTTCCAAACATTATACTTTAGAAATCTCTAGACCTAACACTTCTACACCAAATACTAATACTTCTATATCTATAGATATTATACTCAAACCATTTCAAAAACTCCAAGACCAAATCTCCAAATTACTAATTAAATAAAATATAGCCTCACTATCTTTTTTTCTATTCAATTATGATACTGAAAATACTGCTACATCCTCTACAAATTTAAATCTTTTTAAACAACAAATTCCTATTATAGCTCATTCCTACTATATTCATATATGCTTAGTTTGTTACAAAAATATACCCTCTGTGTTTTCCTCTCAAATGAAAAACATTTTCTTCAATCTAAAACTGTTCTTAAAGGTTTCTTAGTTTATACAGAATGCATTAATAATATTTAAATCAAATCTCTTTTCTAATCAAAGCCTCTAATATCAACTTAGCAAAATACCTATTATTTTATCAAATTTTAGTTTATTATTTTCTTACCAAAAAAAAGCTCTATTCAAATTCACTCTCTCTAAATTTATCAAAAAACCTCTTCTCAAAAAAGATACTTCAAATAATCTTGATTGGTTTAAAACTTTTCTAATAACTGAAGAGATGGAACAATATACTTAACTTAATACACAGGTCTCAATTAAACTTTTTAACTTTCTAAAACCAAATCTTATCAATTTCACTTCAGAAAAAATATTCAAACCAGTATCCAGAAAAACTCCTGTCTCAAAAAGTAACTTCAAATACCTCATAAAATTAATAGCAGGACAATGTCCTGATTTTTTTACAGACCTTATCTTCAATGCTAACTCAAATATTGACAAAGCAACTACAATCCTATTCAATATCATTCTCTCAACCTTCAAATCTCTACTATCTAAATTTACATCAATTCTCTTTACTAAACTAAACTACTAAAAAATTCTATCATCTTATAATTCAATTCCTTTTTATACTATTCAAAACCGTAATTTATTTGCTATTAACCTTGCTAGAATTCATCTTTTTCTTCATAATAACTACAAAACTATTCATGCTAACAAATTTTTTGAAGATCTTAGTATTAAACCTAAAAGATTTTAATTACACTACTTTATCTCTGAGGACAAAATTTACCAACTCCTCTTTAAAATATAACATAATAACAAATTCAATATCAATGTCTCTCTTAATATTTCTAAACAACAATTTATAGAAACTTTTAGGATCTTTTCACTCAAAAAACACAAAGAAGACTTTGACAAATAGTTTGAACTTTTCTTTAAAATCTACAAATATTAATTTTCTACAATTGACTAAACAAAAACCTATAATTATATTAAATATGAAATCACACTCAATCTTGTAAAGGCTTGCAAAAACTTCTTCTTAATAATTTTAAAATAATTTCAATTAATTCTCTTCATGAATATACAATCTTATGCACCAAAGCTACCATTTTTCATATTCATACCTATACTGGCACTGACTGCAATATCTTGCCTACTAATATAGAACACACTTTTAAAAATATCTCAACCTCATTTTTTAACTAATTTTTTACTAAATTTCTAGTAGCTTAATCCTCTAACTCTTCTAAGGACAGAATTAGATAGATACACCTTGTACTTGACTGTAGGCAATTCTAAAAAGACTAACTAAATAAAGCATCTTTTCAAATTTTTACACTGATCACTCTATTTCATAAACTAGCTAACTTAGCTAAACAAGAATTCATTAAAGAAAACAATACTATAACTAGTATTAAAAGACATACTTACTACTTCATACTTATTTTAAAGCTTTTCTTATAGCTATAGCTATAAACAAAGGAATATCCACTCTTAGCCAATATCAAGCAATTCAAAAAATCACCTTTAAACCTATAAACACACATCATCTTGCTAAAATTCTACATACTTTTACTTATTCCAATAACCAAAACTCTCTAACACACAAATTTCTGTAAAATATAAGAACTGATTCTATCTTTAAGCAAAAAAAATTATCTTTAAAAATTTAATATCCAATTTAATACTACTACAATTAACGATGATATTTTATTCAATATAATATCTTCATCCTCAATAAAAAACAAAAATACCAAACAAACATATGCTAATAAATTTAATTCAAATATCAATACAATAATATCCTATATTCCTTTTCAATAAATCTTTCTGTAGATAACATTAATACAATTGCTACTTCTAGAATAATAATATCCTTTACTTATAGTAGGCTATTTCTAGAAGAGAATATAATAAGTGAATAGGCAAACAAGTTTATTTACATAAAAGACCAATTTTATGATAGCTAGACCCAATGTATAGAACAGGCTTTAAACTCTTGTATAACTATAAAAACCAAGTATATAGTGAGTAATTCTACAGAAGTTAACTCCTTCTCTTTAGTTACTAACATCTCATCTCATACTAAAGTAACTACCTATTTTAACCTCTTCTTATTAAACTACAAGCTGTCTCAAATAAACTAAGATATAACTCTAAGGTTCTTTCTAAAATATATCCAAAACTTATCCTTCTTACATCTATTCAAAATTTTAATTAACAATCACAAAACAGAAACCTATATTTATATCAACACAAATAAACTACTCTTATCTAATTATATTCTACTCCTACCAACATACTACCATAAATTTTACAACTTACCTAT